TGCTTACCACACAGTCGGAACTGATCCATCGCTGACCCTCCAACAGGTTTTCAGAGGTAATTAATTGCACAAGAGATTGCCCATCCTTCTCCCATACAGCCTCTGGTGGATTTGAACCCGTGCCTTCAGGACTGCAGCACAGGTTCTTATCCCCCAGGCCATCAAAGCTCTCTAATATACTGCCTAATATACTGCCTGGAAACTTTGTAAGTTCCTTAACTGGTAGCTGCACAACTGTATTTCGGTAAGAAATTTCTTGGTTAAAGCATTTTCTTAAATAAAAGGTTGTTCATTTAGAGCATAAATATAAAATGTTTACTTTTAAAGAAAATAACAAAATGTAGCATAAGTGTTACAAAATGCTCATTTAAAGAAAATAATAAAATGTATTATAAGAGTTACAAAATGCTCTTAAAACTCATTCCCATTTCTCTCTTAAACTCTGTAAAACTCATTGCTATTGAGTTGGAAAAACCTCTTAGCTAACCCACCACTGAGTTCTCAGAGCTGTAAATATCAAAGGAGGAGACAGCCCATCATCCTTCCTTTGAGGCAATAGTGACACTCCCTACAGAGTAGGCCACCAGAGTGCCCTAAATTCTGTGAAGAGAATCCAGGACATAGTAATTTTGTAATTATTTGCTATGCACCAGAAACCTGGACAATGACTAGGGATGACAGGAGGAGAACTGAGGCCTAGAGCTGTGGTGCTGGAGAAGATTATCCCATAAACCATGGACTGCCATGAGAACAAACAAGTTCATCCTAGAGAAGCTAAGACCAAAATATTCCTTGGAAACAAGGATTCTGAAGCTTCCTCTGACATAATTTGGGCATACTGCAAGGAGGGACCAGTCCTTGGAGAGGGACATCATGCTTGTGAGGGTGGAGGGACAGTGCAATAAAGGAAGACTCTTGATGAGAAGGATAGATTCAGTGACTAGGGTAATGGGGATAGGTGTATCAGAGACAGTAAGGTTGGCATAGGGGATCAGGGGGGTCGCTATGAGAGGCAGGCAACTTGACGGCACATAATAACAAATAACAAATAATTAATCTTAGAAATGTAAGTTAAATTTTTAAAGTAAACACCATAAACCTATAATCTACACGAACATAGACTCCTTTAAATAACACTTTTGGACCACATAAACAATCTTTATTCTATCATAAAAAGAAATAATATTCACTACACAGAAAATAGTAAACATCTTAAAAACATATTAAACATTGCCTCATTACACAATGGGAAAAACAAAACAGAAAGATCACTTGGAAGAAATAGCACAAATTATTGTGTCATTTTTTAACACATTTTGTCATTTGCTTAATTTGAGAGCAGTCAAAACATTGTCACAGCAACTTCCTGAATTTAAAAATGTCTACTTTTCAGTTCAAAAATAACTAATCATGCTATTATCCATATACACCTTCCTGAACATGTAAAACATTTAACAAGAAAGGGCTGAAACTAAACAAGAAAACATCCCAAAAGAATTATTTGGCTCTCTGCCCCGCCGTTCTTCCCCTTTTCTAGAACATGTTATATTAAAGACACTTTTGCAGCTTGTGTTACATACACTACATGTCATTTTCTTAGAATGTGTTAGAGTACCACTTGGAAGTTGAGTCATAATCTCTACTCTCAAATATGTCTGATATTTAAAGGTCACAGAACTTCAAATAGTAAGGAAATAATAGTAATATGAAGAAAATTTAACTAAAAGATAAAAAAGATGCACAAGATCAACCAATGTATGTTGAGAAGACACATTTCCATTTTTCCTGGAGTAAGAAGAAAACAGCATTGAAAACAGTGTCCCGTCCACAGCTTCTTCCACCTCATCCCATGAGGTTAACATCAGCTTGTCCATCTTCCCCTAACCCCACTGCTCCCATAAATAACAGCAGTAAGAGGCTACTAAAAGTATATGAAAATATTCCAACCTACAAAACAGAGATAATTCTATTCATTAAGCCTACAAAGAACCATTCTTTTTATTATTATTATTAATTTCTTTGTTTTTCATTTTGGTGAACATCTACAGAGATTTTGGAATTCCATTCATTCATTGTTGCACCCCTC